ATCGAAGAACACAGATGGCTGGTATGCAGAATAATATTCTGCATATAGAGTAACGTACGTTCCAGACGGTTGAACTGAGAAGAGCTGGAGCGTAGGCCAGGAACACGTCACAGATAAGTTGTTCAAAGTGTTTCAGTCTAAGTATCTCTGCATAAACCGAGTTTATTGCATCCCATTAAGTTGTTGAGTTTAGATCAATGGATAGACCGAGTCTGTTGTCATTGAGGGTGTAGACTCTGAATTGATTTAGTGGGAAGGCTGTTACACTGACGTGGGCCTCACAGACGTAGGAGAAATTGCTCCGAACTGCGTAAACAATTTTGTGTGTCGTGTGCTGTTTGTTTTTGTTTCTTTCTATTTATTCAGCAGTTGGTGAAGCACTTTGTTTTACGGATTAATATTAGAAAGTGCTTCAGCAACCTCTGCAGCAACTTGTTCTGTTCTAGATTACTACAGGTCATACATTGAGGAAAGTGGAACTTTCAATAATGAGGTTTCAATCTGTCTGATAGAGAACCTTGTTGCTCACAAGCGCATGAAGCATGTTAGCTCGGAATACATGCCACTTTGTTAGAGAACACGTCATTGTCGAAACTATGACCGTATCTCATGTCTCCTCTGCCGATCTCCTTGGGAAGGCACTCCCCTCTCACTGATTTAGAAACCTCGTTTCCAAACTTCCTCTCATTTCACGGTGTTCAACTTGAGGGGGAGGGGATATTAGAAAATAATATTATTAATAATAAAACCACAATTCTTTTGACCCTAGGTAATTTGACCTTTAAATGATTAGGGACACCTACAATGCTTTGTTGGTAAAATTGATGACTTTTGCCTTCTAAATCCCCCAAACCCCCTGCACCCTAACCAGGTAAAATCTATCATTTTAGTGGGGTAAGAACCATCAATTTTATCAATGGAGCACCGTAGGTGCCCCTGATACGGATAGTTAATTATAATTTTTTAAGTAGTTATATTATTATTTAGTAGTTATTTATTACTCCGTATTATTATTATTATTATTATCTATTGATGGTTTAAGGTTTTAGTATGGGCCCGAGCCCATTAGGTCAATTAGGGTTTTCTGCGTCTTTATATATTGTAATCTTTCGTTATTATTATTCAATCATTCAATAATTAAGAATTCTCTTGATCTCTCGTCTCTCTTTTCTTGGAGCTTGGAAACGCTCAAAGTTTTCCTTCTCTCCTTAACTCCCCTTTCTTGGATCCAGAAGACGCTCGAAGTTCTTCCCTATCCTGATATGAATCGTACAAGATTCGTATCAATTGGTGCTTTCAATTAAAATGCCAGACTCATTCTCGAGTCATATTTGGCTTGGATCCAAAGAATCTTGTCTTAAAAATAATAGTAATTATATTATTTATAGTATTTATTACTTATTCCTTAGCTTCTACTCTTCCCTTAGAGCTACTCTGCTCATATTCTTTCTAGGTTCTTGGAAATTCCAAGATAATATCACAAAGATGCAATAATTTATGCAAGAGATTTTAAATCACAATATGCATATAATTATTGTCCTCTCACACATTGATCACTTACTAGTTATTCAGTGCAAATTTCACTATTTTATTTACCAGGACAGTTTCCAATCTCCTTGCACACCAAGAAGTAGATAACTTTATTCCATTTATCTGTTAAACCTAAGTATCATTCTCTGGAAATTATTGCAATCGACCTCACATGGTTAAAACTTATATTATGCTCTATTGACATTATACATTCTGGTCATATGTGCTTATTTGGGGCTAACAAAACTGCCATTCATGCCGCCATGAATCCTATTTTCCACGAGATCGCATGTAATTATGTGCACGATCATGGTTTGGCTAACAAAATTGTTACACAATATGTTTGTACCTATCGTCAATTAAAAGGTATTTTTGAAAAAATGTTAAGCCATTGCTATTTCGAGTTTCCGCTATTCAACTTTGACATTCGTAATCCTTAGAGTAGTGGAAATGAGCATAATGCCCTGCGCGTCAAACACGTTTATAACGCCGGCAGAACGTTAAAGACCTGCCCTTTACTTCGTCAAATGGGCGTTAGTTTTTGATGCAACCGTTGTTGCTTCAGACCATCGTTCCCTCCCCCCCATTCCCCCAACGGTCTAATTTTAGGTCGTTAGCCAAATTCAATTTTTTATATTATAAATACCCCTTATTTTAAAAATATAAAACACACAACATATTCTCATTCTCTCTGTAATCCTCCAAAATATATTATATTTCTTTTAATTCTCTTTACAAAACACCAAAAAATGAGATCATCTTCATCTAATGATGAAAGAAGATGAGCTCTCATTTTTCATTTTTTCGCATCGGGGTGTTACCAATGGTGGCAACAAGTATAACAAGAGAATGCAGAATTGTCTTAATGCTCGACCTAACGTGAGGGTTTAAATCGTGATCGGGTGGCTACACACAAAAAACTACTCAACAACTACTTTAATACTCAGTGTGTTTACACACCGAAGGATTTTATTAATCGTTTTTAGATGGCCTGTTCTTTGTTTTTATGCATACTTGCCAATATTAACGCAATGTGCCTTAATTCACTCAATGATTTGATGCGAGAGATTGACCCGATTTTAGCAGTGCCCAAAAGTGGATCGTTCATCAAATGGTGTATGGAACAGTTAGTGTTATGCTTGATGAATACTTAAAGATGTCGGTTCAAACATTAGGTCATGTGTTTATAAATTCTCCAAAGCCCCAATTAAATAGAGAGCATTAAACTATAATGAGATCTAGACAAGTATTGATAAATTTAATGCCAAGAATAAAAATTTAAGAATGAAATATGACTCCACTCCAAGTCCAGAGTCAAACCAAAACAGTAGAGTGTAAGTAGACCATGGGTTGGTTTGAGGCTCAGATGGTTAAGACTTGAGACTTGAGAGTGTGACAAAATATCCGTACCAAATTATACTGACCGCGTGGCCCCATAAACGCGCTTCCTCCCCCCTCGGCCTCCTCACCGCCCTATTTATTGTCCTCTCTATCTCCCACTTCTCTGTGTATATCACTATATCTATAGACTCACTCCCATTTTCATAATTTCATCACGCATTAATTTCTTCACCCCGAACGCTTATATTCATTGATCTGTAATCGAATTGCCGGAAAGAATCGATCTTTGGGTGTTTTAGTTCGGATTCATCGGAGAATTCTGCTTGGTTTTGGAGAAAAGATGGCTTCTTTTGATGATTTGCCGGCCTTGGAGCCGTGGGGTTCTCGTTTTCCCGATTCTTGGATTTCCGACGTGTTTTCCCGCGAGACAGAGACGATTACCCAGGCGTTGCAGAAATCCATGTCCGATTCGCCGGCGACGGCCGCGGCCGGGTTTCCACCGGGGTTTTTTCCGGACGAGGCGCCGGTCGGGACTCCCGGCAGCGCCTCCGGCGCGACTGCGTCGTGGGGGTCGGAGAACGAGACGGCGGGATCGGTGCGGCTGGGCGTCAAGGGGAAGGCCAAGAAGCGGAGGTCGCGCGCGTCGAAGGCCGCCACCACCACCACTTACATCACCGCCGACGCCGCTCATTTCCGGCAGATGGTGCAGCAGGTGACCGGATTCAAGCTCGGAGGACCGGTCAAGGCCGGACCAGTCCTGAAACCGGAGCCCCACCGGCCCACCCACCGTCCACCGCCGACCGGATTTTTGCCCACGCTGGACACCTCTGCTTTCCTGCTGGACCAGAGCAAGCAGCCGCCGCCGATGGGGGTGGCCGGTTCCCGTTCTCCCCTTCCGCCTCCGCCTCCGCCTCCGCCGAGAATGGAGGGAGACGGCAGCTTCGGCTCAGGCTTTGACTTTGACTACTTTTCTGACTTTCCCATCTTGGAGTCGTGGAAGACCACGCACAAAATTACTAATCTACCCCCTCTGTGTTAAGATTTCCGGGAAGGGCAAAATGGGAATCATAATCAAGTGCACTGGTTTGTGCATTTGTGAGAGGTGAGTGAGAAGAAGTGGAGTGGTTAATTAATTACCTGATTAGTAAGTAAGTGCTTTATTTTTGAATTTATTATTATGATAATAATCTAATGTGTTTTTGAATCATATTGCACTTATTTTAGAACCCAAATCTGCTTATCTGATCAAATCTTTGTTGTTCTATTGATGCCCTATCTGATCAAATCATTTCTATAAAATCTTTTTTACGACGGAATTGCATTTGAGTGTAATTACTGTAATAATTCTCTTCAATAGTTCAATTGGGTATTTCATTTTTTACCAGGGTGAAAAGAACGAATTAGCATGATATCTTATTGGACTGTAAGGGTATTGAACTATAAAGTGTTTTTTTAAAACCAGATTGATTTTTTTCTGAACCAAAACTGAATCGATATCAAACGGGATGGAACTGTGATAAAAAAAATTTAAAATCGATTATCACGAATGAACCATTCAAAGCTATTTACGGAGTATGTCAAATACTTGATTGTTTATTGATACGAACTCCGTATTGGATAGGGAAGACTCAGAGCGTCTTCGAGCTCTTGAGAATATGGGACGAGGAAGAAGAAGAAGAATTGAGGCGAAGAGGGAATCGGCGAACCGAACGGGAAGAAGGAATTAGGGTTTTGAGTTGTTTATTGATTGATTAACTCTAAAGAGGGTTACATCTCCTTATATAGGGAAGAAGGAAACCCTAATGCTAACCTGACGGTTCAATAAAAGCGACGAGGAAAAGAACCGTAAAGAAACCTCGAAGGAGCTTATAATTTTGCTCACCTAGTAAAATCTACATAACAATAACAATAACAATAACAATAACAATAATAATAATAATATTAATAATAATATTAATATTAATAATAATATTAATAATAATAATAATAATAATAATACTTATAATACTTATAATACTATTAATAAATATCCTACTCTACTATCCATAACACTCTCACCCCTTTAGAAAACCACCTTGTCCTCAAGGTGGAGGCTCCCATTCATGCTTCGAGACTGGAGAGAAAATATTGACCCAAAGATTATGCCCACTTGATGATAGATCTTTATTAAGCCTGCAAATTGGAGTATAGCGATGGACATAAGAGAGGAGAGCAAATGCAAACTTAGCTACCTGCGGTGAAACCCAATACTCGGACTCCACTATATTCGCATGGCGAGAGGACTGGATGATATCAAAGGATAGTGAGATGTCTGCTTGCGTATAATTCACATCTGCTACTTGAGCGGTTTTGGAGGGAGACACAAGGCTACATGCGATGATGACATTGCTCAATGTTTGATCCTTTGTAACGTCTCTCTTACCCGATGCATCTACGGGTGTATCAACAACTAAAAGATCTGATGGAAAGGCATTAACAATACCTTCAATAAAAACACCATCATCAGCAACTTCAGGAACTCTCACTGAATCACCAACAGTACGCTCCACAGATTCCATGTCATTAGATGTAGGATTGTATAGAGTGGTTGTAGGAGCTAGATCAGGTGGAGCAATGGGAATGCCAAGAAGATTTCTTATAGCGTCCATCATCTTTGTTTTAAAACTTGCGAACTCCAAGGGAACCTGACTTAACGCAATTAGAGGATCACGAACCAAATCTTGTATTGCGCAAGATATATTCACATCGAATGCAAATAAATCAGAATCAGAATCAGAATATGGAAGACTTAAAAGATGGCGAAACAAGTGGAGCGTCTTTAGAATTTCATCCACGTGATCATAAGCTATACAGACACCTTCGTGAAACTCAGCTCTTCCATAAAAAATATTTTTCAACACCCCAAGAAGTTTGCCCAAAGCATCGTCCATTGTCATAATAATTTTATCAAAAATCGAGGACATAGTTATGCCAACCAATCTGCCGCCCGGACGATACGATGGAAGTTCAATATTCTAACTTGGGTTGCTGCACAATAATCGGTGGTGGTCAACTCAGATTAGAGAAGCAACTCTTCTCTCTTTTTTTCTTCCAATTCTTGGGTTCAAATCAACCCAAAATATCACAAAAACAATAGCCTAATAACCCAATCAATTGGCACTTTGGAGGCAGTGGCAAGTAACAAAAATAAGGAATTAACCCACAAATTAAAGCAATATGCAGAAAATCTCCTTCCCAAAAGTATGGTAGCCACAAATTCTAATCACAAAAAACAATGGGTATGTAGAAACAAACAATCCCAGCCCCTCAGAATTAAACGGCTGCTAATTGGATGTGATACAAATAAATTTTGGAGCAATTGGTGGAATCGGTATTACTTGGAATCAAGCCCTGTGGCGGTCAAATTCTTGCTATTGCTCTTCTAGTTTTTGTGGTCCGTCCGCCGGCAAAGCCTTGCGGCGTATGAGAGATGTTCAAATCTCTGATATGTGTCGATGAATTGCTGCAACTCGATCTCTGGGCCAGCAAATCGGAAACTTGGGCAACGGAGTAAACGAATTGAGCAGTCAATTCTCTTCCTCTCGTGAATTCTAGACAGGCGACTGGAACTCTTTTTTTCTTGGTTTTTTTTTTCCTGGTTTTTTTAATGGATTCTCTCAACGAGAGCACCAATGATACGAACTCCGTATCGGATAGGGAAGACTCAGAGCGTCTTCGAGCTCTTGAGAATATGGGACGAGGAAGAAGAAGAAGAATTGACGCGAAGAGGGAATCGGCGAACCGAAAGGGAAGAAGGAATTAGGGTTTTGAGTTGTTTATTGATTGATTAACTCTAAAGGGGGTTACATCTCCTTATATAGGGAAGAAGGAGACCCTAATGCTAACCTGACGGTTCAATAAAAGCGACGAGGAAAAGAACCGTAAAGAAACCTCGAAGGAGCTTATAATTTTGCTCACCTAATAAAATCTACATAACAATAACAACAACAATAATAATAATAATAATAATAATAATAATACTTATAATACTTATAATACTATTAATAAATATCCTACTCTACTATCCATAACATTTATCTACTTTATTTTACGGAGTACCATATATGGTACTTCGTATTGTATTATTTTTTTTAAATATTCTTCTATTAGTAATTTACCATTGTTGTTATTATATTTATTACTACTCTGAACATTATTTTTTTGGAGTTATTAATAGCTTGATATTGTATGAATTGAAAAACAATCTTATTTTTAAAATTTAGGTTTGTTATCTTTTACTCTTTATACGGAGTATTTATGATCTTTTTAAATTTCGAAAATTACTTTTTTTAACAAAGTTTTGTTTTTTATACAAAATTGTGCTTTTGTTTTAATAATATTTGAGTAATGCATGTTTAGTTTTTTGGCACAGTTTACGCATGAGTATGGTATTGTATCGTTTCGTCACGAAACGAAATGGTACCAAATGGTTTTGAGGTTCATCCTGTATCGATACTAAACCGTTTGAATAAGAGCTAGGAAACCGCAAACCGGTGATATGTTCAAGTAGTATTATAGACCGTGATGTAATGCTGGGCTTGGAAAACTAAAAACCGAAAACCGAACCGAAATTGATCAAAACGAGCTAGAAAAAACTGAACTGAACTGTTATTTTTTTGTTTCCATTTTTATTTTCGCTTTGAAAAATAATCAAACTGAACCAAAAAACCAAACTTTCTTAGGTACTTCGCTTTATGTCTATAAGTGTATGTGATATCCAAAGAAATAATAGAAATATAAATACAAATAACTAATTAGTCAATTAAAGTTATTTTTTTCTTATTTATTAAACATTTTAAACCATATTATAAACTTTAAAACAATATAGAAATTTAAACACTAATAACTAATCCTAATACATACATACATACATACATACATACATACATACATATACATACATACATACATACATACATACATACATACATACATACATACATACATACATACATACATACATACATACATACATATATATATATATATCTGTGTGTGTGTGTATATATATATATATATATATATATATTAACATCAAACATTGATAAAAGTAATTTACATATTTACATGAAAAACTTTGATGTGATAATGGAAATAAAAGTATTATACCAAAAACGTAAATTTTGCGTAATTGATATTTACATACGAAAGCTCTGTGACTATTTGGAATATTCTAGATGTTTGTTGGACACTCGACACCCTTTTTTATACGTAAAACCCGAACTTAATCGAACTCTAACATGTTATTTGGTTTTGGGTAAAAATCACACCGAAAAAACCGAATACAACCCTACATATTTTGATTGTTTCATCGAGATTGTGTTGTTACAACTTTTTTAATGCTTATAATAAATTTTTGTTTTTAAAAATCCGAAAAACCCTCAAAAAAACGCATAAAACAAAATCGAGTAACCAACGATTTACATATTTTTGGTGTAAAACCAAACCGAACTGCCAACTTACATCCCTGATGGGCGATAACCAAACCGTAAAAAACGAACCCACACCTACTCTGATGGGCCGCGCACATCCCTACTTTTTACTCCAAGTTTGACACCACACTCTCTATAGACATTAGAGACACATCAATTTACATATTGGTGTCACACTTTCTATAACGCTCTCTTTTTCATTTTGAGAAATGCTAAGGACATACCATAAAGTGTCCTTCAAATGTACCCACTTAATCCCAACCACACAATCTTGGTGTGGATAAAAACTTGAGTGAATAAAAAATGAATCGTAAAGATTATTGGTGTAGAAATGGAGTACACCATTTTGGTATACCTCTACCATGACTCCTTACTTATTTGTCTTCCCCTCACTCTCTGCCCCCTATCTCCTCATTCTCTTTGCCCTAACCCTTAACCGACGTCATACATAATGTCAATGGCACCCCCTCCCTTGCCAAAGGCACCCAACGCAGACTTAAATGTAGACCTCCACAAAAATGGATTTGGGACGGATTTAGATCGAATCTGATGTAAATTTTTTATCCATATATCAGGTCAGGCCAAGTTCACCCGCATTATTTTATAGAAATCACCTTAAATAGAACTAAAACATAGAGAAAAGTACCAAAATAAGACTTTCATGTTTTTTTTCCCGGAATAAGACTTTGCACTGTGGTAATGTGACTTTGCATTGTGGTAATGTGGCAGTGTACATGGGCAAATTATTATATTTTTTTGGTAATGTATATGACCATGTTTGGAAATGTAAGTCCTATTTTGGGAATAAAAACATTGAAGTCCTATTTTGGTATATTTTCAATGTTTTAGTCCTACTTTAGTCTTTCTCCCATAATTTTATATATATAAAATGGGTGTATCTATTACAAAAGAGACATCACCATTCATAAAAAGACGTATCTTTTTCTATTAATAGTGCCCTTGTCATCATGTGAATAAATAAGAAAAAATGTTAGAAAAATAATTTGGGATATGTACATTAATAATTTATTATTAATTATTATTTCATTAATATCTAGAATATTGAATAAATAAATTTTAAAAAAAATGTTTTGTAGACTCACCATAATTTACAACCTCCTACAACAGTCTTTTTTAGTAAGGGGTAAGGCCGTAAGGGGTGCGATTTCATTTTTTTTGGAACAATAATGAAGATGGATAAAGCTATTTCTACCCCAAGGATTTGTATTGTACTACATTTTGTACACTGCAGGGATACACCAACATTTTGTGTTGGTGTAATGCTAATTTTTGTTAACACACCAATACTTTATGTAAGTGGAAATTTTTGTTAATGCACCTACACTTTGTGTCAGTGTAAATCATCAAAATATTGATACATATCTTTAGTGTACAAATGATATACTCCCTCAGTCCCAAAAAGATTTACACGTTTTGACTAAAGTTGAAATTAAGGGAGAGATAATTTTGTGTTGACTTTCGAAAAAATACCCTTGATGTGATGTGTAAAAGTAGAATGTGATGTGTAGATTATTAGAAAAAAGGTATGATGTGATAGGTAGAGTTTGAAAAAGTAAGGGGTAAAAGTAATTTTTTAATAGAAATGGGAAGGAGATTGTATGAAACAATTTTTTTGAAACATGTAAATCTTTTTGAGACGGAGGAAGTACAATTTTTGGGGTACTTGTAGCATGCCTTAATGAAGACTACTGACAGTTATGCAGCAGGTATCTCTGCACATTATTCTCATTTATTGTTGACGTAATCAATGAAAGAATTCTACAAGTATTGTTAATCTAGGGAATTAATAGCAGACTTTAATTGGTCTCCATATAATTTTCATTTTTCTATTGGCTGTGACGACTTAATACTACTTTTTCCGTACTAAAACTTTCTTCTAAGAGCACTATTCCAACTTCACGGGAATTTATATTTATTTGTGTTTTTTCATGGCCTATATGATAAAATAAAATATTCTTGTCACCACTTGTTTTGTTGAACTTTTGACGTAGTTTTTAAATATGTATGTTTTATTTTTTATTTCTATACCAATATTTAAATAAAATAGATTGAGAAAACTTGGTATTTTTTTCGTTTTGCGCAACTGGAAGAAAGATATAGGACGGACTACGGAGGGAGTATTTGCAACTGTCGGTTCCTGGTCAATTTGCTTTGTACAGTTTGTTCACTAATCTTTGTACTAGGACGCATTCCAATAATTGCTCCCCTTCCATTATTCCTTTTTAATTATCTGATTTGCTTTTTGAATGTAATATTTAATCAGTAATGTCTCTAAAAATATATTTAAAAAAAATTTGTAAATATATTTTATAAAAATATTTTTCGACACCAAAAATTTATTAGAGTTTGAATATTTTAATTTACTGTATGTTTTATACTCCCTCCGTCCGTAAATATTCTTTCCATTTGACTTTTCTCGGTCAAAATTTGTAAACTTTGACTATGGTAGGTGGAAAAAATACATTGTATTACGATATAACTTTAATATGAATATATTCATTTTAAAATATAGTTTTCAAATATCAAATTTTTATAAAATATAGCCATGTATAAATAAAGATATTAGTGGTCAAAGTGCAATCTTATATATCGTAAAAAGTCAAATGAGAACAACATTTCCGAACAGAGAGAGTATACAATTAGTTAAATGTTTGGCATGAAAAAACAAAATGAACGGATAAAAAAGAATGGAGGAGGTTTAATTTGATTTAAATGTAATGAAAATACTCTAGTAAATGGATTGATGGTTGTTTATCCATTGAAAAAAAAAGAGTAAGAGTATATACTCATAGTAGCCAATGATGTGTAGTTTAATGACACCAAAGTGACTCTTCTAATTGTAAGGTTATAGGTTCAATTCCTAGTGAGGACAATAATTTCATGTTTCAATAGGTTAAGAAAGTGTGTATAAATAAATATTATAATTGTAATTGAGATATTAATGCTTAATAAAAATTATTGTACAGTATGGGAGAAATGGAGGTTTTGTTTGTGAACGATATTTTCGATTAACGTTAGCGTTTTGGATAAATTTTAATGGTGCTGATTAACAACAAAAAGTACTAAAACTAAACGATGTCCTTATATACTGTTTTCAAAATACTAATTCTAATTTCTAACGTTATTGCCAAAGGGGCACAAAGTTTAATACTCCTTCCATCATCTTTGAAAAAACATGACACTTAATTGTTGAAATATAAAAATTATCTGATTTAAATTTATTTGAAATATATAGAGAATAAAAAATGTCTATGTATTTGTTTCTTAAAAGTGAAAGTAGAAAATTATAAAGTTTGATGGTGTAAATTATCGACTGGTATATCAATTTTAGCCGGGCAAAAACGAAAAACTAGTCTAAAAAATACACCAAAATATAAAAACAAGGATTTTGATGTGGAAACTCAAATCAGGAGAAAATCACGGGCCTTTTTGGCGGTACCTTACCAACAAGAGGTTTTTATATAATATATATTAGGGCTTGTACACGATACATGATTTGGGCTCGGAAGCCATTAATGGAAGCTTAAAAGTTTATTGAGAGAGAGAATTATGGGCAGGGTAGGAGTATTATTCAAATATATTTTCTCACTCCTGAATTTATCGATACACTTTAATTTTTGTGTTATTCTTGAAAAATTGACGTACTTTCTCTGTCCTGAGACATGCGGCTGTCGGTGCACTGATGTTGGGCTAATCCAAGTGCTAACTAGCCATGGATATGCCAGTTACCACCTGAGGTGGGTGTTGGAACATTGTTGTCTCACGCTGAAAAGAAAAGAAAAAATATGTCCAACATATAAGTTTTGTAGTCTCTCCTCCCATCAACAATTGATTTTGAGATGACATCCTCTCACAGAAATTTCACATTGTCACCACTTGTTTTGTAATATTTTTTATATAAATTTTACTTTTTATGTATACTAATTTATAAATAAATTAAATTTAAAAAGTATGAGATTTTATACATTTTTTCAAATTGTGTAATCCAGGGCCGGCCTTGAAAAATCCAAAAATAAATTTGGCCCGGTCCAAAATTTAAATTTTGGGTCTTATTTTATTTTTTTGAATACTTTTACTTTAAAATTATTAACAAATTTTAAAATATGAGGCCCTAAAATTTCAGGAGCCCTGTGTGCTTGGCCACTTTGCACACCCTCCGGGCCACCCATGGTGTAATCTAATTTGGATGGGAGAGTAATTAACAAAAGCTAACGTAAGCATGGTGTAGCATTGACGTCTTTTGTTTCATGCACTTCATTTAAATTTTTAATTGGATTATGCTATGTGTACCCCAAGTTTTGTACCCCAATTTGTACCCCGCAGTTTTGCACCAACACTATGTGTGGTGGTGTAAAACTAATTTTTATTAAATGCACCAACATTTGTGTCCGTATGAATTTTTATTAACGCACCAACACTTGTGTCGGTGTAAACCATCGAAATGTTTGTGCAAACCTGTGGTGTACAAATGGGGTATATTTTTTGGTGTAAGTGTAGTATGATCCTTTTTAATTTCATTCTTTCCGACCACATTTTTTATTCTTATTTTAATTTCTGTACCAGACGTCCAGGCAGGCAATATAGCTAGTGAATATAGTGTAAGGAATATATAGTCAACGCCCAGCCACCTCACCGGTCCACCGGCCTCCCAAGAGGATAAAAAACACAAATTCGTTATTCGTAAATGAATATTATTCTATCCGTTCTCAAAAACTTTTTCTCTTTCATTTTTTTTACCTTCAACAGAACACTTCCACTTTCTATTAAAAAACCACTTTTACCCTTACTTTTTCATACTCTACCTATCACATCATACTTTTTCTCTAATACTCAATCCATCACAACTTACTTTTATCTATCACATCAAGGACAAAATTGGAAGTCAACTACAATTTAACAATTCCTTATTTTTAAACAAAGTCAAAATAGGAACACTTTTATAGAACGGATGGAGTATTATATTTGATAGTGTAAATTACCACGCAAATGCTAAGTATAAGTAATCGGGAGGGTTGTAGGTGGAAACACCTGTAACCCGGCTTGTTATTAATGAAAGTAGGAACTTATTACAATCAGTACAAACCGTGTGGATTAATTAAAGCCTACCTCACAAATGAGGGTTTTAGGGGTATTTATAACAATCCTAAGCACGTCAAGCATGTGTCTGGTTATCCAACCGGTCATTCGTCTGACCGGCTGCATAAGAGTACTTGAGAAGAGAATCTATCTGCAGTTGTGACGTTCAATCTCCCCACCCAACCGGCTTCACGACCCGGTCTGCAAAGGATGCGCTCTGTCACTTCCGTCACCACCCAGTCGGACGAACCAACCGGGTGGTATCCATGGGTTATTACCAATCAAGGAGTCCTCCGATTCCCGGTCCTGTGGTGACCATCAGGGTCGGGAAGCACATGCGATTATCTCTTGAAATTTGAACTGCCAGTCGCTTTTTGGCGGGAAAATCGTCTCGGAAAACCAGCGCCAACCCAAAATATTTGAAATTTGAATTTTCAAAATTCAAATTTCGAAAACCGGGTGTCCAAGGCGGGAGAATCTTCTCGAAGTCGGGTACGGAGCCGCCGATTCATTGTGCCGTTTCGTCTTCCCGAGAGGTTATGATGGCAAATCATTTCAGCTGCCACGTGTCATTCTTTCGTTCGTCCGTCTGGGCGGCATCTCCCCTATATAAAGCGAGGTTCTCCCTAGAATTTCCTCACTTGCAAATCTTCAATTAAAAAATTGCCCGGCTGCTTCTACCGTTTCCGAGCCCTCCGAGTCTTCTAATCGCTTCCAAGTAAGTCCTCCCTCCCCTTTCCTTTGAGTCATGTCTGACTGTGAAGACAGCCAGAACCCTTCCGTCCATTCCTACGGTTCTGATGACCGGTCTCAGACTTCTGGTTCCTCTCCTTCTTCATCCTCTGAATCTGAGCACCCGGATGCTTCTCCACAGAAGAAGCCGGTTGATGCTTCCACATGCGCTCCTTCTTCTTCCGTGGCGCAAGTGGTGTCAGTTGCCCAACCCGGGGATGAGGGTTTTATTCTGCTGGACGACCGGTTGCTCCAAACGCAATCGTCGGTCATGCAGAAGGCCCAAGTTCACGAGGTGCGCAACCTGATGCCGGACGGGTACCAATTGACCTACCGGGCAACGTGGAAGAGCATTATTCCTCTCCACGTCGGTACGTCGATTGGTATCCATTACCATTCGATCAAGGACTTGGGTGAATTCTCTATTCATCCATTCAAAGTCCTTTTCCTTGAAACTTACGGTATCATGCCCGGGCAGCTGGCCCCTAATGGTCATCGTTTGTTGGGCAGTTTCATTAATGTCTGCCGGTTTCTTTGTATCCCTCTTTCCCTTCGTCTCTTCGATCACATGTTCGATGTCCGGCCCGGGTCCAAGGAAACCATTGGATTCGTGGTGGTGTCTTCCCATCAAGGCCGGACATTCCTCTGTGGCCTTCCTCCTTCCAACAAGAAGTGGAAGGACAAATACGTCTGTATCAAATTCCCCCCGGCCGCTTTTCCTTTTGCCTAGAATGTCTGGGGGAAGAGAATGAAGCGCCAGGTCAAACCAGCAGAGGCGGATGACCTGGCTGCTTGGGAAGCCACTCTCCGGGCCGGGAATGCCTCCACCCGCAGCCTGTACCATGTAGGGAAGTGGAGCGTCTACCCCGGCCGGGATACTGACACAGAGCCGGAGATCGTCCTGCCAGGGGCAATCCCTGAAGCCATCCCCATCAGCCGGGCGAGGGGATCCGAAGCCTTGGCCACAGCCATCGCCGGTCCTTCATGGCCGGCAAAGAAGAAGAAAAGAAAGGTCAATCAATTACCCTTTATTTTCCTTCCATTTTTTTGTATCGCTGTTCTTCTAACCGGTGTCTTTTCTTGCAGTGGTGAAGTTCCAATCCAAATTTCCCATCCCCCAGATTGTGGTCGAGGAGCCCACCACCGCTCAGCCACTCACTACCTCCTCCAGCCAGCCGTTCTTGCTGGACGAGCAACCGGCCCAGTCCCATCAGGGGACCAACCAGCCTCTTCACTCGGGGGAACTCTACATCAACGTAGATACCCTCGAGTTCGACGCCATGATGGGGGAGACCGGGCACACCTCCCAGGCCGGGTTGGCAGGCCAACCCAATGAGGAGGGCAAAGCCGAGGAGGAGGCTGCTGGGGAGTCTCTTCAACGGAAGAGGCGGAAGACTGAGGAGGTCAACCAGCCACCCCACCAGGGGGCCCAGTCCTCCGACGCCGGCAAGGGGCCAATCGTGCCCAGGTCCTTGGCCTTGATGTCCAGGTCAGACGAGGAGCTCTTCCGAGCGTTTCGATCCGATCTGACTGAGGTAATGCCCTTTTCTTCCTTCTTACCACCCTCTTATTATTTTTGACTCTTTTACCAAAAAAGTTTTTCATGTCTTTAAAGCAGGTCGGCCGGATCAGAGAGGAGTACTTCGCCCGGCTGGTGAAGTCCAAAGAAGAGGAGATGGCCCGGATGGAGGCCATGATGGTCCAGTGCCGGAAGGATGCTCAAGGCGCCCGCGCACAAGCAGAGAAGGTGGAGGCCAAATGGCTGGAGCACTGCACGGTCTACCGCCAGCTCTATGCCAAGCACGACGGACTTCTCAAGGCTGCGAAAGAGGCCGATGAGAAGGTCCAGGCCAAGATCCAGCAGCTGGAGGCCGAGAATGCCCAGTCAGCCGAGGAAATCGCTCGGCTGGGAGATGAGCTGCAGAAAGAGCAGTCGGAGCGGGCCGCCGTTGCCGCTGTCTGGGCAGCTCAAGCGCTAGAGGAGTTCGCCGCTAAGGCGTTTCCTGACCGGGAGACGGCCATCCACTTCTTCCAAGGCCTGTACAAGCATCCAGTATCGTCCGGGATCGTGGATGAGATCGGCACCTATGGCTTCGAGAGCGGCCAGTACGCCGAGCGGCGGGCCCTCTATGGCATCCTTGAGCAGCGGATCCAAGGTTTTCGGCCTAAGGCTCTCTCTCTGTCCGAGCTTCATGATGAGGAGCCGGTCCCTCCATTCCCGGGAATCTGATCCCCTTGGTCTTCTTCTCTTCTATTTTTTTTATGATGTAATATCCTGCCTCCGGGCGCTTTTTGTATACCGTTGAAATATTAATGAAAATATTCTGTATTATGTGATGAGTGCTTTTTCCATATCTCATTAATTCTTTTCAACTTAGATTCTTTAACCGTTTAGATTAGCAAATAACAGCCCGGCTGTATTTATGATGATTGAGTTTTTCGGTAAGTCAACTTTCCCAATGAAGGGTTAGTTTTCTCCGAGTGTCGTGTCTCTCGAGGAGTGGACGAAGGGAATTAGCTAATTTTTCTAACTAGACGAAGGTTAGGACGGGTCTGAAAGTCTTCTCGATTTGATTTGAAAATAATAATAAAATAAACTACTGGATGTTTTTGAGAAAAAGAAAATAAATAGTACGGGTATAGGACTAGACTTCGGGCCAAGGCATCATCTGAGTTAACTACTGTTGTCACATATTTAATCAATAATTGAAATAATAATATTTCTGTCACAAATATTTCATTAACTTATCCTCTCTCAAGGTAACATTAATGTGTTCTAAAAAGTTTGGCTTAATTAATTTTATATCCTCATGGACAAGGCAAAAACTAATTTCCAATTATTAATTAATTTTTCTCTCGACATAACTAATTAATTTAACAATAAAAATAGTTCTAGAACAATTATTCCAACTATTAAATAAACATACAGAGTATATGCCCAAATTTAGCCAAGACCCTAATCTGGGTCCTAACCCATACTAAATATTAACAGTGCATAAAAGAAAGCATTTTATTAAAATTGCAAGTATTAAAACTTACAACAGAGGGCAGAGTCGGAGCCACTTTGGGACAATCGGAACAAAAGTAAACTAAAATATTAAAATATAACTGAGAAAAGAGCGGAGAATGGAGTTCCGGGCCTTAAAGACCCGGAAGAAGGCTTGATGAGAATGAAGGGGCGAAGCCCTCCTTTTATAGGAGAAATTTTCGGTCCAGGCCTCTGACAGGCGTGGGCCTGAGGTACAGGCGCGCGCAAGTGTACATGGCGGCTGATGTGCGAATCAAATGGATGCTGCCTTTACGCCATTTTTTCTTCTTCTTTCTTGTTTTTTTATTCCTTTGATTGATACAATGGATATGCGGACCACATTATTCACAAAAGGATTGATTACAAATGTAATCTTGGTCAACAAATCAAGTTTTGCCACGTATCGCCTCTTTGTTGTCAAAATTTTAACCACTTTGAAATTTATTTTTGAAAATGTCATGTTGCTCAAAATTTTATTCTGAACAACTTTTCCTTCTGCGCTAACTTCAAATTCCGAACAAATCTCTTTGCTCCGTTGCATTCCATTTGCACAATCTTTTACCTTTTTGTACCACTTTTGACTCAATTTTTATTCTATTTAAAACAAGACATAACTTTTGTGCACATTTACAATTATGAATAAAAACTTATAAAAACCATTGAGAAATTGATTTGTTTAATCCAAAATTAGACAATAACACATTAAATATAGAGAAGATAAGTGCGTATAAAACGGACTTATCAATTTACCCGGCTTAGAATACAATTTTACCTAAGTCTTTTCGAAAGACTGGATAGTCAGCCGGGAAGACTTTTTTCTTTATAAATTTCCTCCCGGTTTGGTATAACCCTCGGTGGCGTATTGACTTGTCCTTTTCGAAAGGTTAAGCATTTGCCCGGGTTCTTGTAAGGCCGACCTGTTTCCACAATCGCTTAACGCCTTCGTGGAAAGGTAAACCTTAAGTTTTTTCTTCAGAACGTCTGGCTTAAACTGGCCGGGGTGCTCTCCCTCTAGTTAAGCCAAATCGTTTTTAACTCCCATGTCACTACGGATGAGATGTTGGATCGGTCACACCGGTCTCTCTTCTCTCTTTTTTTTTGAGATGTCCAATTCGATTGGACATCTAACCGGGTAGATTGGTACGTGACGAATTACCGGTTAATGTATGAGAACAATCTTTCGGAAAAGAACAAGTTTTATTACTGGCCGGGAACTCATTACACTTTATCTATAAAATTTACGTAAGTGGTGAGAGTTCCAATGTTGGTCGACCCGGCCACCTTCCATTGTCTCCAGCTGGTAAGTGTCCGACCTAACGATAGCCTTTACGCGATAGGGTCCCTCCCAGTTTCGTACTAGCTTGCCTCTCTCATTAGGCTTACTAGCATCCCTTCTGCGTAAGACTTCATCATGCACTTGGAAATATCATGGGCCCACCCGATTGTCATGATACCTCTTTACCGACTGCTGGTAACCGGCCATCTTGACAGCTGCTATGGTCCTTCGTTCTTCCACCAGATTCAGCTCAGCGAGGTGGTCGACCTCATTCTGACCGGGCTCGTACACGGTTTCTCTAAATGTTGGAATTTCCGCCTCCACTGGTGGCCGGGCTTCACATCCGTAAGTGAGCACGAAAGGAGTCTCTCCAGTTGCTCTCCTTGAAGTCACTCTATGCGCCCAGACTCTATGAGGTAAAGCTTCCAGCCACTTGTGTCCTTCCTCACCCAGTCTCTTTTTTAGACCGTCCACAATTGTCCGGTTAGCTTTTTCGACTTGGCCATTCCCCTGTGGATATGCTACCGATGCCTTGCTATGCTTGACCCCGAAGCTAGCAAGGTATGCAGTGAACCGGGGGTTGCAAAACTGTGGACCGTTGTCGGTGACAATGATTTTTGGGGCACCAAACCGGGTGATAATGTTTTTCCAAACAAATTTCTCACATTGTCGTACGGTTATGGTGGCCATCGCCTCAGCCTCGATCCATTTAGTGAAGTAATCTATAGCCACCATCACGAACTTCTTTCCGCCTTGGGCAACCGGGAGGGCTCCAATAATGTCAATCCCAAACCGGGCAAATGGTATGACATTAGAGGTCGGTTGGTAATATGTAGCCGGTCTGCCGGGATGTTTGTAGAAAACCTGGCACGTTCTACACCTCTGGACATACCGTTCACAATCTCCAACAATGGTCGGCCAGTAGTAGCCTAGCAATATTATCCTTTGAGCCAAAGTGCGAGACATTTGATGGGCTGCACAAACTCCCTCATGTACCTCAGCTATTATCCGTTCAGCTTCAGGGTTGGTAAGGCAACGCAAGAGCGGTCCGCCAATGGCACGTTTGTATAGGTGACCGTCGATTACCTGGAAACGTGGAGCCCGTAGGACCACTTTCCTGGCTCGTTCCTCGTCATCCGGCTTCTGACCGGTCTCCAGATACTCCATGAGTTCGTACCTCCAGTCATCATCTGCTCCGATTATCCCGGTCGCTGAAGTCTGGCCCGGTTGGATGGCCGTGACTTCAAACCGGTCTGTGCTCGGCACGTCCAATATTTCAATTTTCGCCAATTTTGACACATGCTCTGGGCAAGCTTGCGTCAATTTTGAAAGCATATCTGCATCTGCGTTTTCTGACCGGGATATCCTGGTCAGACGAAACTCTTCTAACTCCCTTAGGAGTGCTCGGACCAGGTCACTATACCGGGCCAGGCGATCTTCCTTTTCTTCCATCTCACCATTGACCTGTCCGACAACCAGACTTGAATCGGAACGGATCTTCATCCTTTTTATCCCGAGAGCCCGGGCTAATCTGAGACCACTAAGGCATGGTAGATCTTAAATCCTTCCGGGGTAGTGAAGACTACGCCGGCCCTGCATCCCTTCGGTCCAGAGGCCCCATAAACGGCCATATCCCACCATGGTTCGACCGTATGGGAAGGTCCGGCTTCGGGCTCTAGACCGGTCAGTTCGACGAGGAAGTCTGCCAAAGCTTGATCCTTGATTGCAGTCCTTGGTTTATATTCTATTTTGAACTGAGTGAGCATCATTGCCCATTTGATCAATCTTCCCGAGGAGGTTGAATTTCGAAGGACCGGTCCAAGTGGCTGATCGGTTAGTACTTCCACAGTGTGAGCTTGGAAGTACGCGGTCAGTTTCTTGGCTGTTATGAAAAGTGCGTATGCCGTTTTCTCAATGGCGGTGTACCGGCTTTCCGCCCCATTTAGTGCTTTGCTCACATAGTAAATAGGCCTCTAGCCGTCTTCATTTCTTATCAAAACAGAGCTTACAGCGTTAGGGAAATACCCAAATACAAATACAAAGTCTCACCCGGTTTGGGTTTAGACAAAACAATATCAGAGACTAAGTACTCCTTCAGCTGCTGGAAAGCTTCCTCGCACTCCTGGTCCCATTCGAATGTGTTGGCCTTCTTTAATACCTTGAAGAAGGGCAAAGCTCTCTCTGCCGACCGGGAGAGAAAACGGCTCAAGGCTGCCAGCCGCCCGGTAAGTCGGTGTACATCCTTCAACGAACTGGGCGACCTCATTTCAGTTATGGCCTTAATCTTCTCCGGATTAGGCTCAATGCCACGCTTGGTTACCATGAACCCCAGGAACTTACCGGTCTTTACAGCAAAGACGCATTTCTTGGGGTTGAGGCGCAATTTGTACTTAGCCATAATCTCGAAGCAAAGCTTCATGTCGGCTGGGTGGTTCTCCGCACCCGGGCTCTTGATCAGCATGTCATCTACATAGGGCTCCATGGATTTACCGAGGAGCGGCTTAAAAAGCCGGTTTACCATCCTCTGGTAAGTGGCGCCCGAGTTCTTTAATCCAAAGGCCATCACCCGGTAACAATAAGTGCCTTCAGGAGTCAAGAAGGAAGTCTTCTCCTCGTCCTCCTTAGCCATGAAGATCTGATGGTAGCCTTTGAAGGCATCCATGAAGCTCAGCAACTCACACCCAGCCGTCTCGTCGACCATCTGATCAGGACTGGGCAGTGGGTATGAATCCATGGGGCATGCCTTGTTCAAGTCCGTGTAGTCTACGCACATGCGCCAGGTGTCACCTTTTGGAGCCAAGACGACGTTTGCCAGCCAGGCCGGGTATTGTACCTCTTTTATGTGCCCGACCGCCAACAAGTCTTTCACTTATTTTTTAACAAAGTCCCTCCGGATGTTCGCTAAATGCCTCTTCTTTTGCTTCACAGGCCGGCTTCCTTCCATTACAGCCAAACGATGGCATATGACCGAACGGTCTATGCCTGGTATATCCGCCACACTCCAGGCGAAAATATCTGCGTATTCCCG